CCCGCCAAGTTCACACGTTGAAATCCTAGCTTCCCAGGTGCCGGCACTGGGAGGTGGGGCCTCGGGTCCAGAGGGTGGCCCCCAGGAATGGGAGCAGTGGGGGGAGCTCACCCCCCCCCCCCACCGCTGGGTGAGGTCTGCAGGGGGCGTCTGGGCAGGAGGAGGGCTCACGCCCGTGTGAGACTCTGGGCGCCCAGGTCTCGGCCTCCGGCGCCCAGGGCCGTGAGGGAGGAAGGTGTGTCGTGCGCAGGCCTCCCGTCTGCGGTCTTTTGTGGACACAGCCCACACGGGCTAGACCGTGGTGTCTCGGGAGAGCCCTCCTGGCTGTGGCTGGCCGGGTGGGCTGAGGGGGGCCGAAAGAGGGAGGAGGGCAGGGGGGCTCTGGAGGTGGGGACACAGAAGGAGCGGCCCAGGGTCCCCGCTGCTCTGCCTGCCCGCTCCTGCGTCCTTTTGCACTGAGCCAGCCTTCGCTCCTAGTTACGGCAACTGACGGTCCCGAGCCCTGACGCCACCTGATCTGGGAACCTCGTTCCTTTGCCTCCAGTCCGCCCCTCCCGTCTGAGGCTGCAAAGTGTCCCCGGCTGGGGTTTTGGGCAGGAGAACCCAGTCTCTCCCATTCTCGAGGCCACAAAGTCCAACATCAAAGTTCCCGCAAGGTTCGGTTTCTGGAGGGGCTTTCCTCCTGGGGTGCAGACGGCTGCCTTTTTTCTCCACTTGACAGAGAGAGAGAGAGAGGGAGATATCGAGAGATCCGATCTTGCTTTCGTTTGGATAAAGAGGTCAGTTCTACAGGTCAAGGTTGTACCCTCACGACTTCATTCCACCGTAATCTCCACCTGAAAGGCCCCCCCACCATCAGTCGGTCACACGTGGGACAAGAGCGTCAACGCACGCAGCTGGGGGACACAGCTGTGTCCGTGGTTCCCCCATCGAAACCGGAGCTCCTTGGGGTCGGGCCTTTTCCTGCCCTACCCATGACCTCATGGCCTTTGCTCACACCATGACCAGGCACAGTGCGGGCTCCCTGTAAACACACACGCGTGAACGGACGCGTGGAAGGAAATCTGGGCTGGAAGACCGTCCCGTGTCCCACCAAGGGCAGTGCCGGGCAGGGATGGCAAAGCTGTGTAGGGGCATCTGGTCTGCTGACCACCGTCACCCCGAGGTTTTGGGGACCTGCCGTCAGGGCTGTCCTGCCCACCTGCCAGCCAGGCACGAGCACGGTGGCGGGCGGCCGGCACGGAGCGGGTCACCTGTCCCTCCCCGCCGGCCTCGGTTAGCGCCCTCTCTCTCCCGACGCCGAGGGCGTCAGCCCTTCTGTCCGCTCCCCTCTCCTGGATCCTGTTTAGTCCTCGCGCCCACGCTGCAGGTGGCCCCCGCACCCACCCAGTGTCCCAGGCTGGAGGCAGGCGGGGTCTGGAGGGGCACGTCCTGCTGCAGGTAATCGGGGGACGGCCCCGCCACAGTTCCAACGCCCGTGTCCAGCACGGCCCGAGGGACGAGAGGGGGGTGCCGAGGGCGAGCGGGCTGGGAGGGGGTGGCTGGGCTGTGGGTGGGCTTCTCCCAGCAGCCGCCTCTGCCTCTCCACCCCAGGGCCCTGCGGCCACCTCGCCCAGACAGGACGGAAGGAGTTCTTGCCCCAGGCAGCTCAGGCCGGGGGGTGGTCAGCAGGGCGTGAAAGCCCACCACCATCTTGGCCCGTCCCCGGCTCCACCCAGGGCGGGAGCAACACCCTGTTCCTGGCAGAAGCCGGGGACCCCGCGGGGGGCTTTGTGTCTGGGGTCAGGGCGTGCAGAGGCCACAGGAAGAAGAGCTGGGGCGATCGTGAGGGTAAAGTGGGCACTGGCAGCGGACTAGCAAGGAGTCAGGGCCCCCCCGAGCCCCTCAAAAGCTCCCTGCAGGAAAGTCTGCAGAGGAACCCCCGGTGGTTGGGGGCGGGCCCTGTGCCCACCAGCCGAGGGTCTTGGTCCCACTGCCTTCGGCGGAAAATTCCTCCCCCGGTGTACCAGGACTTCTTGGTTCATGATTCGGAAAGTCTTTAAGCTGATGCTCAACCTAGTTAGCCGCATTAACATATTTTAATCACAATTAATTGGAAAATTACAGTAAGGTGTGAAGAGGGAGTCGTTGCTCGCAAATGAGCACCTATACTTGTTGACGAAATGCAGCCATCTGATTCTCTCCAGGACGTTTCCAGACGCCCGCTGCGCACGTGCGGGCCCGGCACGTGCAGCCCAGCCGCCTCCTGGGCGCCACACCCCACACCCCACACCCCACGTTGCCAGAAGGCCTTCAGGGGGTGAAGGGGACCCCAGGAGAGACAGGAGGCGGAGCTCTTACTGGACTGGTGCTAGAATCCACGGGCACGGGCCGGGTCCTGGGCAGCCACGTTCTCCCGGGTCCTCATCACCGTAGTGTGGGAACATGACACAGGACACTGGCTGAGCCCTCCCCGGGGAGGGCCTGATCTCACCCACCCCTCCCGACGACCTTCCTCACATCGCCGTGGGAACTGAGGCTCGGGGAGACCCCCCCCCCCGCCCCGCCGGGAAGGTCAGAGCCGCGGCTCGCACCCAGGCGGGCTGGCTCCACAGTCTGGGCAACTGACCCTCTGGTTCCACTGCTTTCTGGGAGGTGGCCCTGTCTCTGCGGGGCAGTGAGGACAGCCCGCAGGGGAGGGCCTGCGTGTGAGCCTGAGCCCAGAGCCTCACCCTCTGGTCCCGTGGAGTCTGAGCACAGAGAGTCACACGCAGACGGGTGAGGAGGGAGCCACCCCGTGACAATCTGGAGTCTAGACAGGATGACAGCTGGACTCCCGGTGACGATGGGCCCCCAGGTCCCACTGCTCACGGGACGGCCCTAGTGCAGCCACAGCTGATACAGCGAGAGGCTGAGAAGGGGCCAAGGGACCTGCCCTCGGGGGCTGCCTGAGCCCGTGGCCGGCCAACCTGAGCCGGTGGCCAGGGTCGCTGAGGTGTGCCGGCTGTGGCCGTGGGTCCCCAGACGTGGTGTGAACTGGACTCCCAGGCCGCAGGAGCCTAGTAAACGTGGGTGAGGCTCCGGAGCTCCGACTGAGAACAAAGGAGGAAGGAGCGTGTGGCCAGCTGGGGGTGTGCCCGGCAGGGTCAGGGGGCACCGAAGCAGCACCCACCTTTTCTCTGGGACCTCGAGACCCCGAGCCCCTAAACTTCCCACCGGCCACAGGGGTTGTGCACACACGGGGTGGGGGGTGTGCCTAGACCTCCCCCGTGACTGATGGAGCCCGACTGCGTCTCCGGGGCTGATGCGGAGAGTAAGGGAAGCAGCGATCGGAGGGAGGCCCCCGGGGAGCTTCTCCGTATGGGCGCTCGGGGATTCATTTCCCTCCCTGCAAACAGGGCGGCTAAGCGGCAGGAGTCTCTGAGGCCTCCAGTGAGTTGGCTGGTGTCCGCCCTAGGAAGCCACGCCTCATCGCTCGGCCCGAGGTCCACTGGCCTTCCCAGATATCTGACCCCCGCTCGATTAACCAATCACGTCCTTCAACGCTCCATCTGCCTTGGAATTGAGCGTCCGCGCTTTCTGTTGGAGCACATTGATTTTCACTTTAAAACATTCCGTTTGCAAGTGCGAGCAGCATTTTAGGCAGGAAGCGGGGTGCAGAGGGGCGCGAGGCGGTTCCGAGAGGGTCAGCCTGCCCGAGGGTCCTCTCAGCGGCTTCCCGCGCCCTCCCCCGGCCGCCTGGGCTGCGCATGCGCCGGCGCACCTCTCCTCTGCCGGCCCTTGAGCCCCCACCTTTCCGGGGGCGAGGGAGGTGCAGAGAGAAGGTGAGCAGCCCCCAGACCGGCGGGCAGCCGCCCTGCCTCCAGCCAGGCAGCAGGGACGCAGACACCAGCACTGCAGGGCACAGCCTTGGACCCCAAGTTCACGCACAGAGGCCCAGGCCGCCCCCTCACCCCCACGGCCCAGCAGGGCCGGATTCTGGCTGGAGGGTCGTCGGCTGCTCCTCTCAGCAGCCCCTCGTCTCCAGCGACCTCTGCGCCCTCTCCAAACTGCGGGCTGCCGGCTTCCCGCGCTCAGGACCGCCCGCGGACCGCCCCAGCCCACTTCCTGATGAGCCTGTCCTGACGTGCGAGAAATCAATAGCGAACTCGGGGCTTCCCGCGCCCCCAAGGCCCCGCGGCCCCTCTCAGCCGGTTGTCTGGCAGGCAGAGCCCCCCCGCGGGGAGAGGGGAAGGACACATGAACTAATGAAACCTCCCGCAGCCTCGGCCTGCCGGGGGCGCGCCTGCGTGCACCCCGTGCCCACCCTCTCCCCCTGCATGTCAGTTTCTGCAGGTGTGCGCGGCCCCCGGTCCGGGAGCAGGCGTGTGTGTGTTGCTGTGTATCAGCACTTATGTCTGCAGAGGGGTCGCTGCGTGCAAATCTGTGGGCCCGAGTGCACGTGCACGCGTGCGAGAGAGAGGCTAGGGTCTGCGGTAACGTGGGTGCGGAGGTGCACACGTACACAGTGTGGACCTGTGGGTCGGAGTGCAGCTGCGCCCCTGTGCATAAGGGTGTGTGCGCAGTGCGCGTGTCCACACACCGGCTGGCTCAGAGAAATGGGCCTTAGTGGGCGAGCAGCGGGCTGAGGTGCGGGCTCGCGCCACTCCCACACCTGCATTCGCCGTGCGTCCGTGGGTGGGCCGCCTGCCACGTGACCTCTGCCGCACGCCCTGTCTGCAGCCCTGGCTGTGTCACAGGGCCCGCCAGGCTGCCCAGAGCTGATTGGCTTGGCACAGACATGTGACCAGAGACATCCAGCTTTTCTGCTGACCAGTGAATGACCTCTGGTGCAGAGAGCTGAGCGGAGGTCACAGGATTGCTCCCTTGGAAACGGCCGTCTAGATGTTCGTCACGTGGCTAGCGCTCTCTGTCCGCAGCTGCCGGCCTCCCTTCCCGTGGCCCGTGCGCTAGGTAGTGACGGTCTCCTTCCAATAAGGTCTCATTCACAGCTTCCTGGCGGATGCTTTTCGGGGGACACTGTGCGACCAAGCAAACGGGCAACAAGTAGGGTTTCAAGACTGGGCTCTTACGGTGTGCTGCCCGCAGGCGGGGCACACGGGTTGATGCAGCAAAGCCTGAGAGAGACGCATCCTAGGTAAGGGCCTTCAGGACGGGACACGGCGGGGTGGGCCTCAAGGCCCCTGTGCCCCGGCCACCTCCTCTCTGTCCTCGGGTTGGAGGGGTGGCAGTGCGTGCGGGCAGCACCGGCTTCCTGCCTCTGGGACCACCCCCCCCCACCGCCAGGACACTGCAGCCCCCGAGGGTACCCCCTGCAGGGGAACTGGAGTGTCCTCGGCCCAGAGGAGCGGTGAGTGGGGAGGCCCAGACCTTCGGGAGGTGACTCTGGGACAGGCAGGGGAGGCGGTGCTGAGGATGGCTGTCCGGCAAGGCGGAAGGCAGCAGGACACCGAGCGGGACGGCAGAGGGTTCCCGAGGTCAGAGGGGTCCGTGGGACACACATCCCGAGCTGGTCAGACGGAGTTCTCCGGCCCCCCTCCGCACACACCTCTCCGGGGTGGGGTTCGAGCCCCCGGGCAGCACGGGGTCTGGCCCTGATGTGATGCGGACGGCCGCCTGGCGTTCGCTGGGGAAATGCCCAACGTTTTCAACTGGACTCTCTTTCTGGGTACGACACTCACGCGAGTTCCCCCCACCCCACCCGGCGGGGGCGGTCACTGGTGCCACACGTGCACGCCGCAGCAGGTGACCGCAGCTTCAAGGCACCGCAGCGCTGCGCTCTGCGTCTGCCCCGCACTCACTCCAGCCGACACGGCCCCGGGAAGGAGGGGTGGCGGCGGGTGAGCGTGGTGCGGGGTGCCGGGGTGCGCCGGGGCAGCGGGGTGCGAGGAAGGGCAGCCCACACCCCCACACCGTCACGTTTGTCCCGGGACCATGTTCCCCGTGCGACCGGCCGCCCACGTCGACGCGGCTGAAGCAGAGATTTGAGGAGACGACGCTTACGTCAAGCGCGGTTTAATTCTTATCTGTTGCGTTTTTATTGCTTTCGTTAACGCTGGTTAGGGCCTCTGGATCGATCTCGTAGCCCACTAATAGTTCGTCTACTTGAAAAACAGGTGTTTCACAGTCGTCACCCAGACACGCACGGCCTTGGCAAACGTCCCCCGCTGTTAAATCCCGTACGGTGCCGGGTATAATGCGCGCTTTCGGGCCCACGTTTCTGAGGGAAAAATAAAGACGCGCACCGCACGGGGGTGTAGTGGTTACACCCCACAGGGGTAATAATCCCGGGTACAGTGCGCACAGAAACGTGGGCACCCGGTATACACGGCAGAATGCGGGGTATCTCTCAGGGCCGCGAGTTGTGCGTACGGGGGTATAATAGGAGGAAGTTTCCAGCATTTTGTTTTAAAATTACATGTGCCATTGGGCAGACCTCGCAGTGTGGTTGCTCTCCAATGGATGTTTTAGGGCAGCTCACAACCGATTCGAGGGCTGTCCCGGACCAGCGCTGGGCCGCCAAACAGCACCGGGGTGCACCGCGCCGTGCCGAACCCCTGCTTTCCCACACAGGCTGCCCTGGACCCCCAGGGAAGGGGGAAGCTCTCCCTGGCAGCGTGCTGACGGCGTGTGCCTCGGCACGGGCCTTTCATGTGTAACGTGACACCGAGTTTCGGTAAGTGTGGGCAATAACCCCGATGGACAAGGGGTCCACATGGAATATCGGTGTCAGCCAGTCCTCCCTTCCTTCCTCCCTTCCTTCCTTCTTTCCTTCCTTCCTTCCCTCCCTCCTTCCTTCCCTCCCTCTTTCCTTCCCTCCCTCCCTCCCTTCCTTCCTTCCTTCCCTCCTTCCTTCCCTCCCTTCCTTCCTCCCTCCCTCCTTCCTTCCTTCCCTCCTTCCTTCCTTCCCTCCTTCCTTCCCTCCCTCCTTCCTTCCCTCCCTCCCTCCCTTCCTTCCTTCCCTCCTTCCTTCCCTCCCTTCCTTCCTCCCTCCCTCCTTCCTTCCCTCCCTCCTTCCTTCCCTCCTTCCTTCCCTCCCTCCTTGCTTCCCTCCCTTCCTTCCTCCCTCCCTCCCTCCCTCCCTTCCTTCCTTCCCTCCCTCCTTCCTTCCCTCCCTCCCCTTCCTTCCTTCCTTCCCTCCCTCCTTCCTTCCCTCCCTCCTTCCCTCCCTCCTTCCTTCCCTCCTTCCTCCCTCCTTTCCTCCCATCCACCCATCCTTTCAGCCATCCATCCCTCCACCCATAATTATTTTTATTGAGAAAAATTTTAAGTATAAGGACAGATGGAAACGAGTGTGTGAGGGCCTCTCGCGGACCCACCGGTGAGACCCAACAGTGATTAGACGTTTGCCTTCCTTGGTGTGTTCTTCGCTGAAGCATTTAAAAGCGAATTCCAGATGTTGCCTCACTTTACTGTTATGCGGCACATCTCACTGTGAAACCCTAAGAGCCGCACGGAATCCCCCGGCTGTCTCAGGTCTGACGGGCGTCGGTCTGTGTGAATCCAGACTCGGGCGAGGCCCACGTGCGACATTTGGCGGTTAACCCCTGGGAGGAGCCTCTGAGCGTGAAGCACCCCCCTTCCCGGTTTACGCCAGGGCTCCGGGGCGGACACCAGCTCGGCCGCCTGCGAGCGGGGCTCCTCCTCCTGGTGTCCTCACCGCGTCACGTCACACCTTAAACTGTCCCCGCGTCTCCGGTCCCCTGGAGGCTAACTCCAAAGACTTGATTAGGTTTAGGTTCGATGTTTCTGGCAAAGGTCCTTCACAGTTTGCACATAGTGTGACCTCATGAGGCTTGTATTTAGTGTTGCGTGTTTTTTTTTTAATTGAAGGTATTTTTTTAAAGATTTTATTTATTTATTTTTAGAGAGGGAAGGGAGGGAGAGAGAGGGAGAGAAACATCCATGTGCGGTTGCTGGGGGCCGTGGCCTGCAACCCAGGCATGTGCCCTGACTGGGAATCGAACCTGCGACACTTTGGTTCGCAGCCCGCGCTCCATCCACTGAGCCACGCCAGCCAGGGCTTAGTGTCACGTTTTAATGATGCTGACACGAATGCCCATCCACCTTCCACCCCACGTCTCGTGGCCTAAGGCTTGTGTCCCGAGTCAGCCGCTCCCTCGGGGCTTGCAGCCCGGTGACCGTCCGTCCCATCACCCTGGTCCTCTCCGCGGGCAGAATTCTTCTACAAAGGTTTTACTCCACCAACCAGGGTTATTTGGCTCCTCGAAAACGTGGTCCACACAGGAGCCGTTATACACGGTGTCATCTTAATTGCTCGGAGTTTTTCTGCTTAGTGAACAGATTTACTGGACAGATTTACTGTGCGGACACTCGGGACGTGCGCCTGGCGGGGTCCCTCCCAGGGAGCCTGCCGTCCGCGGGCCCGGCTGCGTCTTCCGGGCTGACGCGAGGAGGCAGCGGCGAGCGGGCTGCCCCGGGGCCCACGGAGGCGCCTCCTCTCCCAGGAGGCTGTGCTGGCAGAGGCTCTGCTGACGTGGTCGGCACGGTTTGCCCCAGCGGGTTCCAGGGAACCGCGGTGACTGTCCTTGGCCCCTCCCTCTCCTTCAGGAAACTCCACGGAAGGCCTTGGCGGCTGCAGGAGGAAGGGTGTCCCAGGTACGCTCTGCCACGCTGGGTTTGGAGCATGGCGGAGAGGTGCGGGGCAGCTGTGCCCGGACGTGGGCAGGGAAGGGGACACCAGTGGATGTGAAGATTCTCCCAGGGGCTCCTGCGGGGTTCCGGGAAGAGGACTCTAATCCTGTTCATGGGGGGTCTTCCCTGCCCTCACGGACCACGCGTCCAGCTATCTGGGGGCTCTTCCCACCCCAGTCAGCCCCTCCCACCCGCTGCCAGGACTTGGGCGGCCTGCCAGTCTCCCCGGGACGTCCTTCCAATGTGTGGCACTGAGAACTGACCACTTAGCTCAGGAAAGGGGGTGGTGGCCGCAAAAGAGAAAACCATCTTGACCGTCAGTGGGTCCCAGCCTCCCGGCGCTCGTGTTTACGCGGCGTTGGGGAGCAGCAGTCTGGTGTTTCGGCATGCTTCCAAGGTGCATGCAGCACGACTGGAACAGGCTCGCCCGCAGAGACCCCCCAGAAGGACGGGGCTCGACCGGGTATTCTTTCCAACCCAGAGATAAAAGCAAACGAGAGAGCTTCCCCCCGCGAGCGTTCGACTGGTTAAACTGGAATAAAGGGTACAGGTCGCCGGTTCAACCCCACGTCCCGCTCACCGCGGGCTGTTGTGTCAGAAGCGGCCCGAGCAGGCGATCAATAACGCATGTGTTTACCAGCCGACGGTGCGACGGATCTGCCCGGCTGTTTGCAACATCACAGGGGCCGGGCGGAACGCAGCCCGCCTCCCTGGGCTCTGCTGCGTGTGCGTGCACACGTAGCCCGAGGATGGTCTGAGAGCGTACCTCCAAATATTCAATACTCTTCTGCCGGAATCGCAGGCTCCAGACATTTGATCAAGTGCGCGGGCCGAGGCAGCTACCCGGGGCCCACAAGGGTTGCGAGAAGCCTGTTGTGCCTGGTTATTACAGATCACACGTAACCGTGTGTAAAATCTCCCGCTGTTCGGAGAGCCTTGTACTAAGCAGGTTAATTAAACCTTAATTTGAATCTCCCAGCTTATGTGGGTCTGGCCTTAACATCATCCCACCTCATTCTCTGCCTGCGTGTGCATTCGTGCGGGAGGGCGCGAGGGGTAAGGTAAAGGCGTTTTCCACGCCTGAGCCATCGCGTCGGCGTAATCTAATTAGTAGGTTGTGAAACAGCTGACGAGGTCTGATCGACATGCCACCTTAGGAAAGCCAGTCTAGTTTAAAATATTATTTTTCGTTGCACAACACCAGCTGTATGGTGTATGATAACAATCCAGGCTGAAGTTAAACTAGCCGGCGTTGCTAGGAACCCCAGGCAACACCCGCAGTGTCCGGCTCGTCCGGCTCCGGCGGGGGCTCCGGGACCCCCGGCTTCTGGGGACAATGGCCAGCTTCAGTCTGGCTTTGGGGGCGTGAAACTAACTTTATGACTCACAACATCTGGATATTTGTCAACCCGCAAATGCTCGGCGAGGTACAATCGCGGCCTTCATCCCGGCCCCGTCGCCGCCTGAGAGCGTGCACTCACT